TTGCCTGAGAATCACATCCAAATTCGCTATCAAATTCGAAATAAAAATAGAAAACAGAAAATAGAAAAAAGTAAAAAGAGAATTGAAATTAGTGGGTGAACATGATTTGACACCGCCATCTTTGACGATTTTTCATTTTTTTTTCCCTTCGCAAAATGACTCCAAAATTTACAGACATGTAGCCCACATCATATAGAACTCACAAAAAAAAAATCAGAAAAAAAAATATATTTTAGGTGTCGAAAATATTTTTTGAAAAAAATAAAATAAAAAAATGAACGCCGTTCAATTTTGAACGCGAACGCGCAATCCGCGTTCAAACGCACATTTGAACGCGAACGCGCGTTCACGGCGTTCAAACGGTTACATAGCTCCCCGCTTGGCAACCAAGGGGACGTACGGTATGTACTTTACCAAACGACCATGGTTGTTTTCGTATGCTTTTGTTGTTTGTCTTGCAGTTTCTGACATCTCCGATTGTTAGCGGAGAAGAGAACCTTCCAAATCGGTACAAAGAGGTATGTCTTACCTCATTTGTCCTTTGCATGCCTGTTTCTTGAAATCTCGCTTCCCGTGCTTGCAAAAGTTAGCGGGGCTTATGATGGACCACTACCAGTCTGATCGTTGGTTTCTTGCGTATGATTTGTGGCTTGTTCTTTCCTTGGGCACTTGTGGTTTTGGTCATACTCAAAACTCGGACATGCTTGACTTAATCTGGTTGTGTATTGCTTCCAGATGCAGGCGGGAAAGTCCTAGTGAGGATATGAAACCACTGTTTTCTCTATGTTGTTTGAGGTCAAGTAGTAAAGATTGTTAGAAAAGAAAAGGGTGGTTATGAAATATTTATTGACGCAATAAATGGTCGTAAAATTACTGAAATAATACCTCCAGGACCAGAAATTATAGTATCGGAAGGAGAATTTGATTAATCCATATGCAGATAATGGGGATCCGTAAGATTGAATTACTTGAGAKGCTTGTGCCCATAAAAAGTCTCTCAGCCATCCGTTAATAGTAATAGCACTCTGAGCAAAATTACCTCCTGTAATATGAGAGATTCCTTTAGCAGTTACATTACCCCATACGTCCGATTGCATTTTCTAACTGAAATGAAAAATAGTTATACATCCAAAAAAGTCCTAAAAATATATGATCCCAAGCCGATACTTGGCAAGTCCCACCTCTTCCCTGTCAATCGCATGGAAAACGAAAGCCTAAATTTGCTTTATCGGGTATCAACCTTGAACTTCGGGAAAAAAGAACACCTTTTAACAAAATACGTACAGTCACATGAATAGTAAATGTATGAATATGATGTACCAAAAAATCAGCAGTACCTAAAGGAATTGGCATCATAGCTACTTTTCCTCCTACAGTGATTAGTCCTTCTCCCCACACTGGACTAGTTGCTGATGTTGCTTGAGGAGCAGTCAAATTTGGTGCCAAAACGTGAGTATTTTGTATCCATTGAGTGAATATTGGTTGTAATTGAATAGCTGTCCAAAATTTGCATCGCTTGTTTGGATTTTAGTAGTCTTGGAATATGCTGACATGTGTGGTATGGTTGATGGCACCGAAAATGTTCGAGTGCTGTCATGCATGTGAATATTGTTGATGATGGAGCATACACCACGGAATGGTTCTGCTTGACATTTGAAAAGAAGTAACGGATCTTCTTCTTTTATTTTTATTTTTTTATTTTTATTTTTTTATTTTTATTTTTTTAAACGGATCTACTTGTCCCAACAAAAAATCATGCTGTGCAATAGATAATGGGCTCTTGACCATTTCCTTCTTTCATGGGATTGCAGTTTGGTCAGCTCAGCTGTTTTGCCTCTGTTTGCTGTGCAGCATGACATGCTTGTGGTAGGAACACGTGCCTCTCGACCTCAGCAACGATATCCACCATCTCAAGGCTCGAACTAATGAGAGCCGTTGATCTACTATGCTCTGGGGGTGAATGTCTTTGTAGTTCATACTGACACACGAGTTCGCTCCTGCTGAATCAGAAGCAGATCAATGCAAAAGGTACCTCTGAGAAAGAAAAGCTGTATTGTGTGTATGTAGCGATTGGTCAGAGGCGTTCGACCGTAGCACAGTTAGTGAAAATTCTTTCAGAAGCGGGTGCTTTAGAATATTCTATTATTGTGGCAGCCACTGCATCAGATCCTGCTCCTCTTCAATTTCTTGCTGCTTATGCGCGGTGGTCGTTTTTTGTGTGTTCTTATGCCTCCAAGGGACACAAACCAATCCTTTTCGTTGGGAATCACACGCTCTTTGGGTCGTATGACACTCCCCTTTTGTTCCATGAGGTAAGAACATGCCCGAAACTCTGGCATTGATCTCAAGATTCTCAACTCACACTGCGAAGCTCTTTTTTCAACGTTTTTTTTCAAACCCTGACATTGATCTTAAATCACATCAATAATTGCTCTCAAACCACTGGGGAGAGCCTGAGGATGTTCCCAGCTCAACCCCCGAATCTATTCTTTCGCTCTTTTTTGAAGTTTTTTCCTTCAATTTTATTATTATATTGCTTCCCCCCCGCCCCCCGTTTGTTGCGTACAAGTCCACCCACCCCTCTACCCCATCAATTTGCTTCTGCCCCCTTCCCTCTCTCTTTGAGTGTAGATGTTAAACACTTGAGAACTGTGAATAGGCATCGATTATGTTGGTTATTCTTGGTGGATATTGAAAGGATTCACTCTGCAGACACCCAGTCCCGGTCCCAGGGTCCCGACAAGTCCCAAGTCCGAGGGCCGTTCCGTAGGGTAGGCCGTAGGGTCTAGAAGTCGAAGCGTCGTAGGTCGGTAGGTGTCGGTACTGCAGCGTCGTAGGTCGGTAGGAGTCCGTCCGGTAACCGACAAGAAAAGTCCAGAAGCGTCCAAGTCCAGTTTTGCAGCATGTCCCAGGAAAGTCCGGAAGCTACCAGACCGACAAAATGTTTGGAGCAGACAGGCTGTGGGCGACCGTACCAGTCTGAAGCAGGCCAAGCCAAGCCAAGCCAAGCCCAGTGAAGCCAAGTCCTATATTTAGCTGCTACAGTGCAGCGGCTCATCATTTGTTCAGTTGCGAGATGCGGAAGTGCTGCTTCTGCTTCTGCGGTAAGGCAACTTAGGCACTGTGCGCCCGAAGAAGAAGAGGGTGCTTGAGAGATACTCCATAGCTAGGCTAGCGGTAGAGCAGGAGGACGGCGGCCATAGGCGCCAATGTGTAAGCTACCCGAGTGAGGGTAACGATCCAGGGTATAGAGAGAGAGAGAAGATAGAGAGTGAGGCAGAGCGAGTCAAGTCAGAGAGAGAGAGAAAAAGGGAGAAGCCATAGCCGCTATCTGGAGATCCGATGTGCGTGTGTGCGCGGCAGAGCCGCTGGAGACAAACACTCTTGTATATTGATAATAATATTGGAGACAATATCTTCAAGTGTTGATTGTATCTCGTTTTGGCTTCTCACATGTGAACTCTCATGTGAACGTTCATTGATGTATGCGAGGTTGAACTTGACGAGTACTTGGCTCATTTCAATATTAGTGGTCTACCGACAAATCGTAATATGTACCAATTGCTACCTGTGTGCTGGATTAAAGATACAAACTCAGCCAGGCTGAGTTGGTTAGGCACACACATGGCATTCAGGAGGTTGTGGGTTTGAGTCCTATGACCACCTGTGGCGAAGTTAGTGCCAACCAACTGTGATAGTCCGCTTGATACCCCTGATCGGTATTAGTAGGGTCTATGACCAACACGGGTGCGAGTGTGAGCGTGAGTGGGTTGTGTGGGGGGTGTGGGAGAGTGTTGTCCATAGCCACTGCTGCTACTCGATGGGGGCTGGGGAAAATAGATGGGAGGTGCAGCTACTAGCAAAGTGCTCGGTCTTTGCGTTAGTGGGCTCCCCCACCGGCGCCCCCACCCTACTCCCTGACCACCGCCGATTGGGGCGGGGGCCCACATGCATCCCCTTCATTGTGAGAGGTAGCTATGCTTGCAGGGGTCCCCCGTATAGGCTTAGGAGTAGTAGTAGGTAGATAGTGAAAGGTGAAATTGAGAAAAGCATATAGCTTAGTTAAGAAAAAAAAAGAAATAAAAAGGATACACAAGGTGGACAAGCTCCCCCATTTGGATGTAGTATTTGAACGAGTCTCCCTAGGCATTGGGAGGTTGCAGTATATGATGAACCATAAGACCCCGGAAACTTTGGAGGGTCTTTGTCTGAAGAAGATCTTCCGAGCAAATCGATTGAAGGAAATTTTATGTCCCCCCCTATTGATGATTTGCTGAGACACAGGCCCTCCAAGGTGTCAAAGACTAGAAGAAGCAGAAATGGGGAAATGTGGGTACCTAGACTGCTAGGGGTTGTTCTAAAATTTGAACCACCAGTACATCCGAAAAAGCAGATTGAGCCTCTCCTGAAAATTTGGAGGCCATGGACTGTCTCAATGAAATGAATGGGCCTCCTCCTTTTTAGGAGAGGCTCAATCTCCGTTTTTGGATGTACTGCCAGTAAAAAGGAGTGACCCTGTAGCTGTATAAAAGATAAATTTTGTAGCGCCATAAAGCCTTCTTCGCCCCCCCCCCCCTAAAGATATTAAAATTTAAAAGATAAATGTTGAAGCTCATTATTGGTCGTGATACCAGGATGGAGGGTCTGTGTCTGATCCTCTGCGAAAAGTGGAACTAATTAGGAGGCGGTGGTTTTAACAGCACTCATCTGATGGGCTGTTTCTCTTGTGGGTGTCATCCTCATTGTGCTTGCTTGTTCAGTTCACGGACATGTACTTCATTGTTGCGACTTTTGTGACATAAGTAAGATATATACATGGCCGTTATGGAGGAATGGGCAACACGTTTGTAGACATTTCCTGCTAAAGCTATGCATGCATGCGGAGTCCTTTTTTATTATTATACACAAAACAGAACCTTATCGGTTCTGGCTCCTTGTCCATCCTGTGCTTAAGACCTATTGTCTTTTCAAGTTTTCCTGCTTTTGCTGCTCTTTGCGTTGTATGATCTGTGTGTCTGGGTACATGTGGCGTTTGCGTGCTCTTCACTTCCGTCTTTGAGTTTTTGCATTCTCCCTCTTTCCGTTAAATCCCCTTAGCATAGTGCATTTACTGACCCTCTATCAGATATGCAAGGGCATTGGTGTGTTTATTCCACCCCCCCCCTCAACCCCCCCCACCACAACCCAAAGAAAAAGAGAGAAAGAAAAACAGGACCTTAAGGCCCTGGCTGTCCATTCTGGGGAGCATCAGTCTGCTTTCTTTGCACCAGCAAGTCATCAATACAGCTTACAATTATCCCTGAGACGCTTCCTCCCACTCAGGCATAAGGAACCCCTGATCACCATTAATTAGTAATTATTAATTAGTAGTTACCCCTTGCCATGGGGGATTAACTGTGAGGCTAACCTGTCTTGATGTGTAGTTCCTGTGACACCCTATGCAAACATGGGATGGCAGATTAATCCTGAAGCTCTAGAATGTATTTGATGTATTTTGAATCCTTGGTATGACAGATTTTTTTGGTGTTAATGCCTGTAAAAGATATGACAGATTTGTTGGTATGGTGTCCAAAAAAGGATCTGTGTCGATGACTCATCTGGTTGTTCCCTTGTCTTTTGCATCATGACTGTTTGAGTTGCACGACTTATTCCACTTGATGGAGGGACCACTGTGAGTCACTGCTTTCCCATGCAGCGGCCATGATGGTTGAAACTGTGTGTTAGCTTCTGTTTGTCCTCCAGTCTCTTGTAAAATTCCCTTTTTGACAGTTTTTGTTCGTCGCCACTTGCACCTGATCTCTCCCTGCAGAACAGAACAACCATGTTGAAACTTGAAGCCAACACTTTTTCTCTGTCACTGCGTGCTCCTGCGGTTGCTAAGCTGCACACCTCTCCTTCCATATCACCCAACATGCAGCTTTCCTGATCAGTCAGTCCATACTAAATTTTATCAGGCTTGTGGAGAAGGGGGGAGAGGTCAGTCCACAGACTCCACACTAGGCAGTCCAAAGGGGGGGGGGGGGGGGGGGGGGGGGGGGGAAGGGATGGTAAACCATTGGTTCTACGATCCGATCCAGCCAATCAGAATAATCGTGAGGAGTTGAGAAGACAAAAATACAGGCAGTATGGTGGTGATTCGTACGTTCTTTCTTACATGTTCGTGATAGCAGAATATCCATTGTGACTTCTATATGGATGGATTTGGGTTCTGATGATGGTGAATGTTTGGCAATCACATGTGAAGATATCTGTCATATGCTTCCTTGTTGCAGTCGAGGTTCAATCTCCTAAATTCGGAATGAGATATAGTGCTGATGAGGAGGTGTCGAGTTGCCATTTCCAAATTAGTAGGTGGCACAAACAGATGTCCTTGGGGACATCCGTTAAAATTGGAATGATACAGAGAAGATATAGATTAGCATGGCCCCTGCGCAAGGATGACACACATAAATTGAGAAATGGTCCACATTTTTGAAAGAAAAGAAAAAGGTGTCACGAATAGATGTGCACACACGCACACACACACACACACACACACAC